AATAAGAACTGGCCCGAGACTTGGCTTAACCACTTTGCGGCACAATCAAAACAAATTCAGTTTCGATCGAAATTCGCAGCGGTGAACACAGTGAAGCGCTTGGAATATCTTTTAGATGCGCTTGAAGATTTTGTTTGAATTGAAAATAAATTAAATATTTAACGTACGACAAACGCAGTTAACTCTAAAAAGTGATACCGAAACGTGTTGCGTTTATTAAATAAAATTAAGGCAAAAATATATTCGAAAAGTTTGCGTCTTATTAAATCGAAATTTATAAACTTTAAACGTAGAAAAAATAGTGCGTTTCCGTTTAATCGACGAATTAAAATCTCGAAAAAGTTAAAAAATACACCAAATATTTTTTATTATTTTTTTCTTATTTTTCTGAATTGAAACGAAGGCGAATATATTAAACAAATTTGCGAAAAATTACACTCGAAATAAATTAAATGAAAGCGTGCATTTTATTTTAAATTTAGGCAATTTTTGGTTGATTTGATTTTTTTCTTATATTAAATTTAAATTTTATTTTTGTTAAATTTAACATTTTGGATCTGTAATTTGTGTTCATTCAACTGTGAGTTTGTGCAACGTGCATGGATTTGTTAACTCACTGATGAATAATTGAGTTGACGCTTTCAAAGTAAGCAAGCCCCATAAATATAAAATAATAATTATAAAATATATTCATATATGCTATTTAGTTATTCATTTTAATTTAATATAAATGTCTAAAAATATTAATCATTAGTTAGTAATTACCGAAAATACTATTATGAGGCAATTCAATGCATAAAAAATTTATTTGAAATTATTTTGATGATTAATGAAGTTGCACATGTGCAAAATACAATTTCTCTTAATTAATAAAAATACAAAAAAATACAAAAAATTAATTACAAGAACCTATTGTATACAATATTTTTTTGACAAAATAATTGTAAAAAATAACTTATTTCTTAAATAAAATATCGTTAGAAATCACGCTTCAGATACATCCTATACACAACTTAAAATGCTTACGAGTGTAATCTATGCATTGCATCCATTAGATTTGAAATGACGTCAGTTTACTGAAGCAGTTCAGTTTTTGATATACGGAAAAACAACTATTAATGGAATATTTTGTTATGATAAAAAAATTAATATCAAAATTCAATTAATTAATTAATTAATAATATATACTGCCTTACAGTCGAAATCTATATGAGACGCCAACATTTTTTTTTTTTTTGTTTATTTGAGCTCCTCTAACTTGAAAATCAAATTTTTGTGTTAATTGCTTTTCGGAAGATAAGAGTGAATTGATTTGTTTAAATAATAATATTAATATAATAATATATAATATATATAATAAGAACTTAATAACAATATTAATATAATAATAATACATTTTTAAATAGTTTAATTATATGTTGCATTGATTTTCTAAGAGCGATTACAGTAGCATAATACTATATACAGACATACTTTAATTTCGCAAAAATCTTAGTTTCATCTCGGTTTCAGTAAAATTCAGCTGTTTTTTACATAAAAAATTCAATAAAGTTCGAACGAAATTAAGGAAAATGGTCTTATACTAAGTTCAGACACATCTAAATATCGCAAAAATCTTAATTTCATCTTGGTTTCAGCGAAATTAAGGAAAATCACCTTAATTTCCTTGAAACGAAGGCGAATATTAAGGGACATTTCAAGTGCAACTGTGTGTAAGATAAATTTTAAGCAAAAGATAAAGTTGAGATAACGAAAAAGTGACATTTTTTTATTTAAATGTCAGTCACATTTACTAAAATGTTTAATAAAATCGGGAAATATTTTGAAAATAGTGGAAATTTTTAAATTTGCATATATAAAAAAAAACTGTAACTGTTATTAATCTAAAATAGAGTGGAAAATAATAATTCACGTCCCAAAAATGCACTAAAGCTAATAAAACTACTGAGTACCATCCTTTATAGTTATAATAATTAACTTTCAAAATGTCCCAGATACAAATGGTGTTTGAAGCATTTAATTTTTAACACTCGATTTGTACACAAAAAACATATGATTTCCTTAATTTGGTGCAGTATGAACACTATCGAAATTAATTTCATTTAATTTTTAATTTAATTTTTAACTTAATTTAATTTTTACGAAATTAAGAAAATTTGACTGTATGAACAAAGTATAAGATTTTTTTTTTATTTATTATTACAAAATGTCTATTACTGACCTTGTCTTGCAAACCCTGGGAAAAAAGATTCCTTTTAACAATTTCACCTTTAATATTTTATATATTAACTTAAAGTTTTAAGTCACGTTTTAACTTAAAGCTCAGTTTTTCATATCTTCAGCTAAAGGTAGAAGCGCTCTTTAGTCCCTACACTAAAATTATTTAGATTTGTAGATATTTAAATTTTTAAACTGCTACAATTCTTATATCGTTTATTTGATTTCGACAATTTCCTTTTTTTTTTTTTAAATCCAAAGACAATATAATTCTAATACATACTCGTAATACAAATACCATATATATTAAATTTTTTTAGTCACAAAACTAATTTGGACGAGAATCCGATTTTCAGCGAATTATTCCAAACAATTTTCTCCATTACACTATATACTTACTTCTCAAGATATCTGAGTCTAAATTTCTAAACAATAATTTAACAAATGTCATTTAATGCCACCAGTATGAGCATTAATCACACTTTAATTATATTGACTACTTATACTTTTGTTAGTGATTTCCATATAAAAATTTCTAACTTTAACAAATCTCAGTAACTTATGTTTAGTGTAGTAAAAAAGAGGTACCAAATAGCTAACATATCTTAAATAAAATTCGTGGTCAAAAGAGTTTGCCCAAAAAACTGATATGGTATTAAATTCAACATTTGATCTTGACTGTTTTTCGTACTTGATACTCACTAGGAGAGGTCGTGAGTTAATATCTACCTGGTGCGAATTGCCATGACATATATATTCCTGATTTAAGCCACAAAAAAATCTTATCAAGAAATTTTTTTTCAAATTTTTACAGGTTTCCGATCTTGAGAGGGTTAAGTCTCTTTTTTTCGTTATATTCATTTCGTTATATTTCCTTAGATTTATATCCTCGACTTTTTGAAGTTTTGTTTATTATTTCCTTTAGTCATAGAAAATGTTTCAATAACTGATTGTATAAATAATTTTAATTCGTATATAAAATGTTCACTAAGTAAAGTGTATACTTACTACTTCATGTAAAAACATGAAGTATCCTAAACATATACCAATCTCTGCGTTTAACCATAAAATTCTTGAGTCTAAGTATTTCTTGCAATTTTTGAGAACATTAATTAAAACAAGAAACTTTTGTATTTTAAGTTTTCCAAACTATCAAGGATTGCATATTTAAAATGATAATACCATAAGCCCCAATACACAGGAGTGTCTAAAAATATACTACACCGCAATTTTGCTGCATTTAAGATTATGAGATATATTTGATTAGTGTTTTTTGCAAGGAGAGCAAGGGTAAGGGTAAGTAAGGGTAATTCGTTGAACTTCTTATAAGCCCTTTAACTAACTTTTAACCTTTAACTTATAAGAATTTTAACAGATGTTTGATTTGTCTCAAAGTTTCATGAAATATTTCCAAAGATTTGAATATTGGTTTGCCTAAAGACGAAGGATTAAAGCACTACTAACATTATTTTCGAAACCATTGCTTTAGTTATTGAATTTTCTCTTGCGTGATTAGAATCGCGCAATAATTAATTGAATTAAAAAATTAATTACACTTGTGTTTTGAATTTAAAAACATTCAATTAACTACGCAATTAATATAACTAGTAATTGTCATATCACGAATCTCATTTCAACAATTCGAGGATAATTATGTATTAAAGAATATAAAATAAAATGTTTTCCAAGTACAGTTGGAATATTTACCGACATTAAGTAGGTCGATTTGAATTTCTTCAGATTTTTCCTGAAATTAAAATGCTATCTACTATCTACAAATATCTACTAAGTCCAAGTGTCCAAATTGGTTTAATCATATTCTTATACGTATGTAATACTATGTTTTTACAGGTGTCATTTAGACAGCTCATTAAGGCTGCTAATGAAAATAATTCACCCTACAAAGAGCTTTCATATAAATGAACTCATTATAAATAAATCAACTGTTTTAAGGCGAACAACGTCAAATACAATTCTTAAAAAAAATTTCCCACATGGAAAATTACTAAAATTTAAAATATTTGTCATATGATTTATATGTAAAATGTAAACAAACAATCTCCTTATAATTGGAGAGGTGTCCCTCGTATATATTAAATAGACATTGCGCAATTTTATTTACAATTTTTATAATTTTAAGATATCTGCAATAAATTTGTTATAACAAACATGAAATTAGAAACGAACTGGGCACTGATATACACGGCGACCATATTAGAGCTTTTGTGATGTATATGTTCGGTTATTTCTAAGCAGTGCTAAAAGAGTAGCTAAAAGATAATAACTGACATTGTTATCAATTTAATCTATTCTCTTAATTATACTTATTTAACTTATCCATTCTACAAGATTCCAAATAGATAAAGACTTTACTATTCTTATTTGAATTTTTCCTACTTTAAAAGATTAAATTCAATTTTCTGTACTCGTACCACTTTAGGCAAGAGAAGGTTTTCCTATTTTCAAATTCTTTGCGTATACTACATAAAGTGATATAGGAATTTTTAAATTTTTTAAGTAGGGTGTACCACTAAAAAAGTCAAATTATATATTATCAAAAAAAAATAATATCACGACGTATGTAGTGTGGGGAGCGCGTTATTGGACGCTCAAATAAATTGGGGTTAAATACTTATACTATTAATCATTTAAGGTTATATTTTTTT